GAGCTCTCGTGCCTCCGTTGGTAAAAAAAAAATTAGCCAATCAGCATCGAGTGTTCACTTTCAGCGCTGAGGAGTGTTGAGAAAAGAAACCTTGCAAGGGAGGCTAGCCTCCCTTCTGATATCAACCAATCATCAAAGAGACGTAAATTACATGCTATTAGTTTGAATGTCTCCCGCTGTGCTGATAATGTACCAAGTAGGCTTACTTATGATGAGTAGCGATATTGAATATTTGATCGCCAACAGATCAGATTTACCAAGCTGTCATTCAAACAGTATATATACAAATTAACCCTCTACCGCACGCATTATGATAGACCTATAGAAAAAACATATTTGAATAGTTTTTTCTGTTGATGCTATGCTAATGGTACCTGCTTCAGGAGAATAAAATGATCTAAATATTTCAAATAATTTCCTCAGAAATTGGAAGATGGTGTTGACATATCATGGTTGTGACACAGGAAATATTAACATTAAGATTTAAAATATTCTAAAACCATAAAATTTACCAGAGCCTGTCTGACAGTGGTGTAGGCTACTCTGCAGAGGTGGATTGTGGCAAGGGTGTCATTTAGAGTGACAGCTGCCCCTGCTATACCCTGATTTTATTACATTTTTTATTACATTTTAATAAATGTCTGACAGTGTTGACAAAAAGTGGGGACACAATTTTGAAACCTTATGAAACATGCATGTGTCACTGAAAAACAACCTTGCTTTGATATGAGATATTATTAAGTGGTGCTTTTTGGTAAAACAAGCTCTTTTTTATCATTAAAAAAAAACATTTTTATCCATTTTATAGCATATGAATGATTGAACCCTTCTCTGTGGACACACTGTTTTGGATGTAGTGAGAAGACAATAAGTGTCATTTCACATAATAATGATATAATTAAATTGAAGGGGATATTGTGTTAAATACATTCTATTATTAATCCCCATATCATTTAAAATTGAAAATATTTTTATTTTTAAACCAAATAGCAGTCACAATTGCTGGACATGTTTTGTCCCATGTCTCAAGAATCACTGCTATGTTTGTGAGATCTTTGAACTGTAACCCATTCATCATTGTTTTGACAATACTGCTGCAGCTCTAGAGCTAAAATGACAAAATACAACAAACAGTACATCATTTCAAACAGTCATAATTACAGCATGACTGACAGGAGGGATGTCTCTTTTCAAATGTGTGTGTGTGTGTGTGTGTGTGTGTGTGTGTGTGGGCCGAATACCTCATGCGTGTGACGGAAATGTTATGCTTCTTACCATATTGTGAAGCCGTGTCCCGGAGTGATGAGACAAAACCAATAAAACCCATTATAAACGAGGCATTTGCTTTAAATCCATCATGATTTCTTCTCACTTTATGGTATCCTTGTGACATTTGCAGAAAAGATCTCTTTATTTATTTATTTATTTATTACCATGTCATTTAAATCATGTCCTAATCTGCATGAAACCGTTCAGCGTCTACCCACAGATTTGATGGGGATTTCAAGTTTAAAAGCAAGGTCAGTCGTGCGCTCATTGTCACGAGGCACTTCAACCTTCACCATATCAGGGAGCCATTGTTTTCTATTTTTTTTTCTTTCTATTTTCTTTTATGTCGGGCAGAATGTGGGAGACCCAGTCGCCATGGTTTCTACCTTCTGAAATAAAGGTGGACTAAAAACACAGGAAAATGTGACCATTTGCAGGAAAAGACAGCTTAAAAGCCTGTCACATAGCATAATTATCTGTATTATGTGTAGTTTTCCTCAGCAGTAAGGCGAAGTCAGAAACCACTGTAACCACATTCATGTGCACCATAGAGAAGTTTTAAACCACACCTGAATCTGGGTTTCAGTTCTTAGACCGCAAAACTACAGTGAGATTAATTTTAAATCTCTCTAATGTTTCCCTGTTTTCAGGGGGAATGTTTTTTTGTATTCGGCCCCTCCATAATGGCCTTGTGCTGCATTAGATGACGCACATTAGAAAAAGGCTAATAATGCCGTGACCCATTTTCACTATTTTTACCAACTTAACTCGCTTTGTACATTTCCCCATAATATGTGGGTGTTACCCTTATTCTTCTGGACAGTGTGAGAAGAACCGTGAATAGTCTGCTTTAATAACAGACAAGACTGTTTGATTGCTATCATGAATACTTCAAGGAAGCTAACTGAAATTCCTGGCTGCAGAAAAAGAAATAGAAGGTATGCAAAGATTAGATTTTTAAATATATCAATAGCTACAGTTTTATTAAGGAACAGATTTTGTACTCAAGCAATTTGTATTATAATAAAGGGATGCTTTTTGGAAACATATGAGACATAAAGTGAATTTCGAGAGAGAAAATGAATTTAGCCATAATTTAGTGACATTGAAGGAGATTTGCTCCATGGCTTTTAATGCTACAGCGACATCTGCTGGTTCATTCATCAGATCAAATCAGATTTTTGGGTCCAAGAAAGATCGAAGGCCTATCCTATATTTCAGTACACTGTAAGATTTTTCGAAGATGTAAATAAAACAAAATTATTGTAGTACGTTTTAGAAGAAAATACTGTTTCAGTTTTTCGACTTCAAAATTTCACTTTTAATTCAATGTGTTATTTCCCATTTCTTTGTAGTTGTTTGTGGAATTTAGCAATTCCTGCAGTGAAAATAGTTTGTACACCCATTTTTTAGTGACTTGTAGGATTTATCCTTATAGATCCATCATATATGGATGGGAGGTGAAATGACACTGCTTTTTTAAAATGTATTTTTAGATGCTATAAACCTCAGTAGTACATAATTACTCTGGTAAATCTTCAGGCCAGGACAGAATCTGTTTTTCTCATTTTAAGACACATCTTTTAAAGTGTATATTCAGCCAGCTCCCCTTGACTCCTCCCCTTTGCCTGAATGTTGTATAAATGAAACACTGCCATTAACACAGCCTGAAAGGCTGAGACTGTAAAATTATGGAGAAACTTGGCATAATTCTGTTTGTTGCATTGCTTGCACTTTTTTGCAGGGAATGGTATAGGACATTTTTACTGCATGTATAGAGTGTTTGTGTAACTTTGTGGAAGCGAGGGATACGATATTAAAAAAAAAAAAAAAAAAAGACTGATTTTACACATTCATTCTAACAATGTTAATTTGCGAATGTGTTGCTTATTTAATTGTAAATTCATCTGAATATCGTCCAATTGAATTTTTTTTGTCATACCTGTATTTGTTTTAACCAATACCATTAAAGCTAGTGTGCAAAGATATTACTAACATTTCAATTCAACATATGCACAACATGCTGGATACTTGGATAATTGTGGATATTATTTTGTCTCAGTGCATAATGCTGAAGTGCAGATTCAGAATTGGACTTGGGGCTATGGAGGACTCTGAAGGGAGGAATCATGGTTGTGCACGCAGATACAGGTGTGTTGATATAATGTGACAATAAACAAACAAAAATATATTTTATATATATTTATATAAATTTGTATTATATAAATTTGTAATACTTATACATAATATGTAAGATTTTTTAAACACAAATGTAAAGGTCATAACTTTTTTAACAATGGTGTTCATTACTTTCAGATGCTGTGCTGTGCGGGTTTAGCCAGATCTTAGCAGGCCTTCACTGCTGATTGATTTAAAAACTACATCGTCAGAAGAATGACATCTTTATTTTGATTTCGGTGCTGATGAAAAACTTTAATTAGCATCATATAATTCATTCATATTATTTAGTGTTTTGACATTTAACAATGATTTTCTAGAGGTGAAAAGAATGTTCCTGCACTGTTTGTAAAAGAAGTGTGTTCATCTGAAGTGTGTGAGAATCTCAAAATAAAAAGCTGATGAAGTAATGAGCTGTGGAACATTGCAATTACACATGGGGATGGTATTTTAGCATACAACATAAGGGAGGCAAATCACAAACTGAGTAAAGCTGATGGGACAGCTAAAGCATGTCACCACCGTAAATCCTGGATTACAATTAATACAGGCTTCTTTTTCAAGAGAGGCATGCCGCACATTTCCAGCATTTAACTCTATTCAGTCTGTGTCTATGAAAGTCAAAGGATGGTCTGGTTTAAGTGGAGCCGGCTTTGCTCTGCATTGTACAGCCACTGGACAATAACACTTCCAATGAAGGGTCTGACCCTAATATCTTTTGTGAAATGCTGCTTTTGTAAAAGAAATGTTTGCCAACAGATTTTACTTGTTCACTATCCAGAGATTTTATGTTTTGGTTTTGGTTCTTTCTACATTAAACCAGAATCTATGATTTACAATGAGTCAAAAGCCATTCCGATGTGCTTAAATCAGGGAAAAAATAAACTGTTTTAGTAAGTCTTCATTTTTTTTGTGCAAAAGTGGTGGATTTTTCTTTGAATGTGCGAGACCTCCGATTCATCAGCCGCTATGGGCAAATAACTAGAAAACAAACAAAGTGCAGAAAAACTATTTGCGCAACAAACCAGTGTTTTTGCCAGTTAATGCCATAATGGCAGTTTGCATTAGAATATTATAACATAATGGCCTTTATTTGTACAAGTAAAATACCTGGAAGCGAATGTCACACATTCAAGTTACAAATGGCTGCATCTGCTTTTACATTAATTCTTACCTTAAGTTTTTTTTTTCACCTTATTACACTCTAAAAAAATGCTAGGTTGTTTTAACCCAACTTTGGGTCAAATATGGACTTACCCAACCATTGGGTTAAATTTTTTAATTAAAATTTTAACACAAAAGTTGGGTTAGTCCATATTTGACCCAAAATTTGGGTTGAAACATTTTATTTTATTTTATTTATTTATTTCTGTTTTGGAAAAGAAATTTGCAAAACATAAAAATTCCAAAACGTCACGTTCTAAATATTATACTTGTGCCGCTAGATGGCGACAACGGATCGTTGTCCTTTTGAAACACACATACAGAAGTACAGAAGAACATGTCCCGGAAATATTAACGGATTTTAAATATCTTCTGGTGAATAAACTTATGTAGGAGTGAGGTTTTGTATTTATTTATTAAATAAGTAAACAGTTATTCAGCATGGACATATCCTCTGATGAATCTGATGACTGGTTTATGGAGTCTCTAAACACGTGAGTCTGACAGCAGTAGAGTTGCATTTGATCGCCTGTAAATAGTTGTGTCTTAACACTTATTGCGTTGCCTACCTAAACAGCATTTTCTTGAGCACCGGGGACGTGTTTCATTAGCCAGTAAATCTGCGTCTTTTTAATTTCAGATACAAAGACCTGCATGTATTTCAACTCGAGCATCCGACGAAAGTAATAGAGTGGACGGGGGACAAAAGTAAAGCGTCTCTGAATTCCTGAAAAAGTTGAATCATTAAAGTAGAAAATCCACTAAATTCTAAAAAGGCTGTTTTTCTTCTGTATTCCAGATATTTGTGTTGCAGGATACACTGGAGCAAGAAGCGAAATCTTGGAGTTACTTCTGCCTCTTAAGTTATATGCAGGAGAAAACCAGGTGAATGAAGACACTAGTATGTTTTTTGAATGTGCCGTTCATTTAATTAACTGCTTATTGGTCACAACTTTAGGGTCTTTGTGCAGAAAGAGACTTCAAAGTACAGCATGGTGGCTTTTCTGAGGAACCTGTTGAGAGTTTGATACATATCCCTGGAACAAGGTAATAACTAGATCTTGATATGTTCAGAAGTTCAGAAGCAATTTGCAACAATCTATTTCAGTCTATTTACTGGCAAAATACTGCTGAGTTTGATTTGACACAATGCCAACAACAGCAAGATATTGAGAAATATTCAGTTCATCTCAGTTTTAAAAATTTAGAGCCCTATTCATTGTGCCATCTGCATGATTATATGATTATTTGATACATGGTTCTTTACAGGTGTGTGGTGACTAGTGGAAGTTCTAGTTCAACATTGCAGATTTGGGATATTGGAGGCGATGATAGCGGTAGGATTAATGTCTGTGTAGTTCATTACAAATAGAATTAGCAATGACAAAGTAAACAAATCATCTACATGCATTTGATGAATTATGTGTAATTATCTTCTAAATACAAAATCATTTTTTATTATAATTATTCAAAAATAATCTGACATATTTTTGAATTCATGGAGCATTTTGCAAATCCTTAACATTTCATGTAGCATCTTACCTGATTTTTCAATACAGATGTTATAAAAGGGACTGGAGTCATAAACCTCAAGAGCACATCAGCAAAAGGCAGTAAAATAGCACCTGGATTGACAGACGAACCAGCAGTCCTTCATGGTTCTTGTATAAATGAAGTTCAGCTGACAGAGATAGCAACAGGACAGATTCTGTATACAGTAGGTAATATCAAATCTTACTTATTTTCTTTATTTTTAAATGCTATATCAGTTCAGCTCATTTAATCTGACTTTTTTCTTCTTTTTACAGCAAAAGAGTCCTCAGATTCAGTGAGTGGCTTACAGTTTGTGAATGCTTGTGTGTTTCTCATTTGTGCGAGCGATGGCACTCTGCTCATGGTTGACACAAGAGATCCCTCGACTTGTCATTATCCTCTGGAAGACAGTAAGAGTGGTTTGCACTGGTCATTTGGATTGAGGAGTGACAGCTCTCAGTCAGAACCTTCCTCTTGTACTGTAGCAAGACTCTCGTCCTCTGGTCACATGCTGTTGTCTGATCTAAGAAATTTACAGAGTCCGTTTTGTCAAACCCAACTAAATGTCCAACACAGCACATCAAAGAAGGACTTCCTGAACGTTTCTTGGGCTCCTGTTCTCGACAGATGTCTGTCTGTGTCGGGTAAGTAAAGAATGCTTCCATTTTTCCTGTCTCAAATAAGGAACATAAACTTTTAGTTTTGTAAGGTTGTGTTAGATAGAAAATGTCGTGTTTGTATTCCTTAATGTAAAGACCTCTGGTTACTCACCAATGACCTGACAATTTTTGCTTTCTCAAATTTGGAAGGGTTTGATGGAACAGTGCACATCTACAACACAATGAATTGGAGTACCGAGGGACAGAGCCCACAGCCAGTTTTTTCACACCGAGGTCATGAAATGTCTCATGAAGCAAAATACAGTGGTTCCCCGCCTGTGGTTACCACCCATTCTTGGCATCAGTCACGACCAAAAACTCTTCTCTCCGCAGCTACGGATGGATCTCTTCATGTATGGGACTGGGTGGATAAAATCACTGACAGATGATGTTGATGTTCATTAGATAATAGACAAAACTATTGTGTAATTATACAAGCATATCCTTTATTCATTTTAAACAGATTTGCATAATACTTTGCAGTCAGAGTACAATGTTTGTGAACTCATTATGTAATATTAAACAATTGAAAAATAACATTGTCTGAATTTTGACAATGACCGTTAGCAAACTATATTATTACACTGTATTATTACACGGCTCTCTGGAATACTTGATTCTGATTGGTCAGTTGCTGCGTTCAGCAGTGTGATATTTCAACTCAAATCAAATTAGTTTGAGTAGCCGTGTAATCATCATAAAAATTAATATTGTAGCCTACCACCATTTCTACACCGGACGCGAACAGCGCGACGGGACAAAAAAAAAAGAACATTAATATCACTGATGCTGGATGGTGACAAATCCCCTACAGTAAACTGATGCCCCGGCCCGTTATATTTCTGACGTACTCCAGGACAACTTCCAACAACAGCCCATTCACATACAAGTCTTTTTTTTTTTTTTTTGCATTGAAAAACGTGAAATGGAACAGAACAACACGCAAGGTCTCAGGATGCACATGGTGTGTTCTGTTTAATTAGATTCCAGTTTCCGTATTTAAAAAGAAAAAAAAAAGTTTCAGTCAGAGAATGTAATTGTGTATGTAATGTTATGAAGTTACCAATAAAATAAAGCTAAACTAATTAAAGTATGATTACTGTTTCCTACATATTGAATACCTCAGGTGAATGGAATAAAGTTTTAAAAAAGGAATATTTGGGAATTATTGGCATGCTAATAAGGAAAGCATATTGCTTGGTTATGATAATTTGCTGTTTGAATTAATAAACGAATGCATTTATAACTTGAATTTTTAACATTCAGCAATTTTCATTAGTAAACAAATGAACCAGCAAAAAAAAAAAAAAAATTAAAAGACAACAGTTCTTGAGTATGAACTTGAACATTGCTATGGAGAATCCACCTGTGGAGATTCCACAGCGTCGTTGATTTTATAGAACTTAAAAGCTATCTCTTCAATTTCCTTTTCCTGTCCACATTCCATGAGACAGGCAATGTTCTCTGTATTCTCACACTCAGCCAGATCCGAGTATCCACTTGGACCATTATTGATTGTGCCCTTGCAGTTCCATTGGTTTGCATCGAACGGTGATTTATTCACATAGATTCCGAGATTCTTTCTCTCATTTTTATTGGTTGGATGAGAATAGAGCAGCAAAGCATGGGAAGGAATATACATCACACTACCTTGGCAACCCTTACCGGTCTCTATCAGCTTTTGAACAGTAAAAAGTTTTTCAAAAGTTTCTCCACTACTGGTGCTTAGAGCTTCAACTCTGTAGCCGGATGAACTTCGAGCATTGCAGTACAGTAAACTATTATCACTTTTATCTGTGATCTCAGCCATCTGACATTCATTAGACTCACCATCCATATGTTTTCCTACTTGCCAAGTATGTCCTTTATCATCACTGTAAAATGTGACTGCATGTGATGTGGGGTCATGGGGCTCAACAAAGTAATACACACATGCTGGGATAATCAGTCTTCCGTCCTTCGTTTGAATACCATGTCCTGGTCCAACAGCAAAGGTGGCCCAGTTTTTCTCCTTTTCACGGATCACATCTTTCAGTTCTGTAATAACACTCCAGTTTTTGCCGGTGTCCTGACTGGTTACGTAACAAAGTCGTGCCTGGTTCTTTTTTGCGTTTATTTGACTAATTTCAGAGACCCCATCAGGAACACAAATGAAAAACAGAAAGAGGGTCTTGGATTCTCTCTCATAGACCGGACATGGATTCATGCTGCGGTGGTTTGGTAGACAAGCTGAAGAGAGCACCTGATGACCACTGTCCCACTGAAATAAAAATGATGACATCATGACAGTGTTCATGCCTTCTATTAACTAATGAATGCTAGATTGGGTAAATAATTTAAGAAATAGTGAAGTTGTAAGAAAACTGTCAGGAATAATATTTTATAATTTTGGTTAAACATGTCTAGTACCTCAATTGTATTCTTGTCATCCTCCCACAATCCTCTTCTCATCACAAGCTTGTCTGCATCTGTGTCACTTGGTTTGTTCCGTTTTTCAGCGAAGGCAAGGTAGGTTTTATTTTCACTGATATAGATAAGAGCTGGAATTCTGTATGTCACCTGTCGTTTGCAACAACACCAACCTAACCAACAACACCAACTTGGCCAACAACACCAACCTAACCAACAACACCAAACTTGAGGCTGTTCCTGTTTGAATATTGTTGTTTTAATGTCTGTTAGATCAAATGATGGTGTTTTGTCATCCATTGTTAAATGTAAGACCTAGAAATAGAACAAACAGTATCAGATATGAGACAAATTATCAAATTATACTTTTATTATTATAAAATTATAAAGAAAAAGAAAAAACAAAGATTAAATTGTTTTCTACCTTTTTTGTCTAATGGTTACATAATATTTTTAAAAATGATTTAAAAATGTGAGGATAAAAACACTCAAGGAGTTTGCAGCACGGACAAGATTCGCTACTTCTTCGCAAGCAGGACAAAGTACAGGTACTCATGCCTCTTGTCCAAAAATTTGCACTTGTTTGATTAATGTTTTTGTCGTTTTGTCTTTGAAAGACATTGCTTGAGGTTCCAATGATCAAATCAAATGAAGTGAAATTTGCCATCAAATAATTTTAGACATTTTCTTAGAATTATCTTTACGCCTTTTAGCCATTTTGTAATTACTTTCAATTTTAAGAGGATGTATGAAGTCAGTTCTGGTAACTCAGAAATACTATTTTCAACAACTAAATGATTAAGTGCAATTTACTATGTGTTTATTTCAAACAGCACATTTAAGTTGAGCTAACTAATTTAACATTTCATGCAACTTGGAATTTCTTAGTTGTATTTACTTAAACAGCAATCTAATTTACTTGCTAAAACCATGCAAACTGATTGCCTTAAAAAACAAGTGTTACTCCAGTAACTTAAGTACTTCAAACATCCATTATAAATAAATGAAAACAATGTTCCATTCAGCGCACATACAAATACACATAAATTTATGGTAGTGACAGTTCAAAGTTAAAGGTAATGTCATGTTTATTGTTTTTCTACAACTGCCATTGTTCTTTTGCTATTTGTGGTTTACACCAACAATACAGTTTTAACTTTTTTGAAACAAAGCAAAAACAATCTGATTCAGGGTATGTTTCTTGTAAACAGTGGAGGTAGAAGTAGGATGAGTTTAAGTACGGCACTGGGGTGGCCGCACAAGTTGCCAATGGTCACTTTAGTTTTTGTTTTTTTTTGTTTTTTTTGCGGTCCCAAGTCAAGCATCACACTTTGAATGAACCTTTTTTTATGGCATGGGGGTAATCCAAATGTACCGTATGACAGTCCGAAAGCAAATGGTTGAGGTAGATTCTGGAGACTGTTATTTGCAATACTGCTTTAAACCATGATGTCAAAAGACACAGGGTTTAGAAAATTTTTCATTTTTCATGGTGCAAATTTTCATTTGTGGGTGAACTATACATATAATAATCACTAATATTTATATAAATATCTTAATAATACACCAGCAAATATAAAGAAAACACAATTATGTGCTTCTCAAATATGTGTAACTATGAGACTTACAAAGCAGGTTAGTTGTAGAAGTATCTGGGGAAATCACAAAGTAAAACAGGTAGGCCTCAGATGGTTGTGCAGTGCTGTCAAATCTGGGTTCTAGAAGTAAAAAAATAAATAAAAACAAAGTTTAAGACATTCAAGAGTTACAGGACAAATATGTTTGTCAAAGTGTCAATAAAGAAGTCATTAGCCCTATTCGCAAGGGATTAGTATAATCTGGGGACCTTGTGTGATTTTGACATTTTTTGCCAAATGCAGGCCAAATCACAGAGATGCCGATTCGCACGGGACTAATATTATCACAGGACCTTGGTGTTCGGCTAAATATAGTAGGTCACTTGCGGGGGAATTTTTACTTTACAAATTACAGACATGGCCGATTCGCACGGGATTAAGATCACAGACAACCTCCGCAATTATTACAAATGACTGGAGGTCACCAGGTAATACTAATCCTCCTGTTTATTTTTAAAATACTGAAAACAATTTAGGCAGCAACATATATTTTGTAGGGGTTGAAGAGTGTAAAGTGTCCTCTTAGAACTGCCAAAAAAAAAAAAAACATGGTTTCAGGTATACTGCATCTGCAAGAAATTATAAAGTAAATGTGATTACGGAGTCAAAAACTGCTCTACTGCTGGGTATAACAGCTTAAGATGAAATACCTCACCTCCAGTGAACTGAGGACTGTGTTGATGGGACTGGTGTTCAGAAAAGACAGTTTCCACAAGCACTTTTCCTAAATATGACAAATAACTCTTTGGTTAAAAAAGGAAGATCCACGAGTGTTGTGGCTTGTAGATAAGAGACACATTCAGAATCATTACTTGATATTTGCATACTTTATAAGACTTACACGAAAGAAAGAAAGAAAGAAAGAAAGAAAGAAAGAAAAAAAGGAGGATACATATCTATTTGAGGCTTTAGCAGGGGCGCCGCTAACAATTTTGGGCCTTATGAAAGAATATGAGGTTGGGCCCCCTACCGCACCAAACATACACTATATTGCCCAAAGTATTGGGAAAACTCAATAAAACTAAAAAAAACTCATAGCCAAACACCAATGACTTGTACATATGCGTACAATCATTTTAGACACTTCCAAAACTGTGGCAACAAAGATGGAAATACAATTTTTAAATACATGAATTTAGACTTGTGCCGGTATTCGGTAATGCGATATAGGCTACCACCGTAATGAATATTGTTATTATATTATATTGTATTGTTATCGTGGGCACTTCTAAATACCGTGAATAATTATATATTACAAATTATTCAGAATTTTGAATGCATTTTAAGAATACTTTTCCCATAAACTGGTCAAAATGCACAACACCGCTGTATGCTGTGTGAAAGACTCATGCGC